ATCCCTTTCCAGTGCGGCAGAGGACAATGCCTCGCTGGCTGGAAGGCAACCCTTCCCAGTTGACCAAGGTACATGCCTCGCCAACTGGAAAGGACCTTGCCGGCTGAAAGGAAACCCTTCCAGCCGGCCATTGTTCTCGGGTATCCCAGGGGATCCCGGGGATATCTCCCGGATTTTGGGGGGTGGGGGGGGGGGAAAGGACATCTGCACCCGAATCCGCATCCTCTGGCGGGTATCCGCTGGCCCTGGCGGGTATCTGCCAGCGGATAGCGGATATCCGCAACAGATTATCCCCGCCCATCTCTAATTTCCACCCTGCAAGGCCAGAATATTTGTCAACAAGAAGATTTTTTTTTTTTTTTTTTTGCATAAGCCTTGTTGAGATGGCTTTCATGAGAGCTAAGTAATCAAGCTTATGAGTTAGAGTGATAATGTAGACCTGAGAAGAGGGATCAAAATAAATAAAAAAAACACACACTCCAAATTGCAATAGGAAGTGCTCCAATTACTCAATCAAGCAAAGTAAAGATGAGCTATAAAGGAGACCATTTCTATCCACTTGTCCATTTATCAATCTATTGATCTATCAAATTATCAAATTACGTAAATATTCATCTATCGATCTATAGTATGAGCATCCATCTAACACATCTAATATATACATATATACATAAATATATGCACACACACATATATATATACATGTATGTACAAAACAATGTGAACAAGACAAAACCGAAAGGGGATTGTTTTTTGTTTTTTTTTGGGGGGGGGGTCAGTTATTAAACAAAGAAGAGTGGGGGAAGATGAGGAGGACTGGAAATGAAGTACTACACAAACGAGGCAATGAACAGGTAAGAATGATGAGAGGGAGAGCAGGCTTAGAGTTTAGGATTAGGGGACGAAGGAGGGGACGAAAGATCGATCAGGGCCGGTTCCGCCTTCCAGTTCTTGACAGGTACCGCGCCGACGCCGACGTCCAAGGCCTCTTTCAACGCGACGATATCGGTGTAGATCTGTGGCGACGGAAGGAGGTTGACGGCCCGATTGGTCTCCAAGACCTGCTGGTCGAGCTGGTCGAGGGAGAGAGTGAGATGCTTGATCAGCCGGTCCAGTTGGTCCACATTAGCCTCCTCCTCCTCCTTCTTCTTCTTGGTTTCCATGTAGCTTAGTAGCGAGGCTCGGTCCGGCTTCGAGTGCAGGAAGGTCAGGTCTGCCGGGGTGGGCTCGAAGCGGAGTTCTGGATCAACCATCTCCTTCTTCTCTTCTTCTCCAACTTTCTCTTCCTCTCCCTCCTCCTCCTCCTGAGAATCATCATCCACAACACCTTCCTTCTTATCTTGATCAGCCCCTCCAGAATGCAAACCATTCAGGACCTGAGAAGGTACCGGAACATGCAAGGAGACGATCTGCGTCGAACACTTGGCTCGCGACGCCGAACTCGGCAACACCCGCGCCCGGTAAAACTCGACCATCGACTCCTTACTGATCTTCTTGATCAACGCGCCATCCAGAAATCGTTGTTCAAAGGCATAGTAACCCGCTTTGATGTGCATCCAATAATGCGATGTCCTATTCATAAAAAAAAAACCCCAACAATGTCAGATCATGATAATTTTGTCGATTAATTGAAGAGGATCCACTTACTCATCCGACATATTTTTGAAATCTTCGACGATTTTATTAATCAAACTAGTTTTCATTTCTTCGAACTCATTGGGGGTCATTTTAAGGAGTTTATGATTAAGGAACCAATCCAAGAAGTGTTCGATTCTGGATTCGACGAAGATGGGATCGCGTTCGGACTGGATGAGGATTTTGAGGCCGGCTTGACCGGGGGCCATAGCGGTATAGGAGCGGACGATGTATCCCAACTGTTCCTTAGTCCGAAGCTGATTGAAGCAGGATTCCTGGACCATTTGGGCGAGCAACATGAGCTTGACACGGGTCTGATCATCCGCCATATCGCCTACGGCGATCATGTAATCCACGGCGCTGTTGACGTTGGACGGGTCGGCCAAGGGCCGCTGGTAGACGATGTTGGAGCCTTGTGGGATCAGCTTGGGGCGTACCGGTTTCAGCTCCCCAGCCGCAACCGATCCCAGCCCAAAGATCTCTTGCGGAAGAGTCGAGATCGAGAGCGCCTCCTCCGCAGTCATGTTTCCATGCACCAAACTCTCCACAAACCCGCGTCCTAAGACCTCCGGGATGAATGCCTCGATCTCCTCCGGTTTCAACTCCGCCAATAGATCTAGCTTCTCCTCGTAGCTGTAATGGACCTCCGAAACGATCGAGCCCATCCAATAAGCTGCATGTGAATAGGGACTCTCGAGGATAAAGTTCTTCCAGGCGCGTTCGGATTCTTTCTTCAGGATCTCAAACCGTTGTCGATCGACCTTCATCTCCTTCAATCCTCTCAAGATCGTCTCCATCAGGTGTCCTAACTTCTCGTTGTATCCATCCACATTGAAGACCAACCCATCCCATATGCTTCCTACTTCATATCCTAACCCGGCAATTTCTGCTTCATACAATTCTTCGTTTAATGCGTCTTTTAATAGTCTAGAGATGAAGTATGTCTTGAGTGAATTGATACAGCTCGAATTGGTGATCGGACTAGGAAGAGAAAACCCAATTTTTTGCTTTGGTCAGTAGGTATATATATATATAGATCAAAGGAAAGATAGAATCCGCTTACTTTCGTAGCATCAAAATTACACTAGCTCTAGGCAACCACCAACGGTCGTCTTTCTTATGCCAAACCCGACCAAACTGATCATCTCTGAGACAAGTGGGTCTTCGAGTGGGTATAAGGACCGGCTGATCAGGTTTATCGACGTGAAAGTTAGTGGAGATGAATGAGTTAGGAGGGGGTAGAGAGAGCGCGTCGACGGGCAGAGAGGGTTTCAGAAATCCTTCTGGTAGGGGTTGGATGGTGTATTCAGTTCCATACCATCGTTCCTTCGAGTCGTAGGTCACCCCGGGTAAGGCGGTCTGAGTACCGAGCAAGATCCGACAGTTCTCAGGCCTGACCAACTCTAGATGTTTTTGAATCAATTCGGCATCGAACCGATCGGTCAGATAGACGCTCGAGATCACTTTCTCTTTCGGACAGGGTCGTCTGAGCCAAGTGGCTAAGCTGGTCACATAAGATGATGGGGGTGAGGGTGATTTGAATCTGAATCGGGTCTCAGACAGGAGTGCTTGTTCTTTGAATGCCCATTCTTGCGGGGGTGTAGACTTGAGGAGATCTAGATAGGCAAAAATGATCTGGACGACCTGCTTGTAGTTTTCTGTTTTTTGAAAGTAGATGGAGTAAGTGAGTGTTGTTGTTGTTGATGTTGATGATGATGATGAGCGAGGGGAGATATATAACTGACCTAATCCATTAGCCGTGAGGTCGAGAGTGATCTTGAAGAGGTCGAAGCCGGTGACGCCACCACTGGCGCCGGCTGAGAGGGTATTGACCCAGCCCATCTTCTTGAGATAACTCATGACTGATCCCGGACCTTCATGGCCGATATGATGGCTGATAAATCCTAGAGGTTGGGTATCGTAGTAGGGGGCTTGATCGGGCATAGGGAAGGTGATCTCGAGATAGTTGGTATCCTTAACCATCCTGGTGATGATTAATTTTGATAATTCTTTCGGAGTGTAGGGTGATCCGTCGAATCGATCTGGGATAATACTCCTGTTGGGTACTAGGCTGAATTTCTGGACGACCAACTTGGTGAGATCTTCGATAGGTTCCTTGGCTAGTACGGCGAGGCTCATGACGTTAGAGGAGTAATGTTTTGAGTAAAACTTGAGTAATTCCTGTCGGATATCGAGTCCTAATGCTTTAGGTCGTTCGACTAAGGTCTTGAGGTTACCGGTGCCGAACCTCCAGAAGGAGTGATTGGGGGATGAGGTTGCCTTGTCGAGTTGAAAGATCCTCCAGGCGTCGTTCTGCAAGTTCTTACTGTTTTCTGAGTCGACTGCCCGTATCTCGCGTTCGGTACAAGATTCGGTGAAGGTAGGGGAGATGAAGAACTGAGAGAAGCGATCGAGTGCGCCATCGAGTGCGGATGGATGGACGTCGAAGTAGTAGACCGTGTTATCCATGCCCGTGTACGCGTTGGAGTGACCGGAGTTCTTTGAGAGATATTCAGAGTATTCGTTCTCGCTGGGGTATTTCTGATTGCCGAGGAAGAGTAGATGTTCGCAGAAGTGGGCTAGTCCTTGCAAGTCTTGAGGGTCGCTGAGATGTCCTACGTTGACGTCCATGGCGGCTGCGGCCTTGTCGGTCTTTGGGTCATGGATCAGGATGGCCTGCAGATGATTCTGGAGTTTGATGATTCGATAGGATCGGCTGTCAGAGGCTGATTTGATGATCGGTCTGTCTAGGATTGAGTAGGCTGGTAGATGATCCTGTGCTGGGATTTCTGTGAATGGGTCTGCCATCCTGAGGGTGTTTGAGAAGTTTCTGTATGATGATGGTAGTCGTTTGATGGTTGTTGTTGTTGTTGGTCGGTTGAGTGTGAGAGGTAGTATTCTTCTCGTTATTAGATGGATCGTCGTTGTCTTCCTCATTCGGCTTGGGTTTCCTGAGTGAATACTATGAAAATGGAAAAAGAAAAGAAAAGTGGAGAGAGTAGAAACTGTCGGAAAAAGGAAAACACATAGACAATACATAGACCCACTGAGGGGGGCTATACTCTACTCCGGCTGCGAAACGCAGGGGGTCAGAGGGGGGTGGGGGGCTTACATCTCGATCTCACCATGCGAAACCTAAACAGCAAAACATACTATAAAGACTCCACTTCGCCAGCCCTCTCCGTGCTCCTGTAAACTATCCCCTCCTCCCTTCGAACTCATTTTTTTTGAGGGCCGGTTGGAGGTATCAGAGTCAAACACGGAACCCGATTGACTTCGAGCGTGAAGTGCTTAATGACTCTGATACCGGGCATCCTTTCTATGATGAAGTACCGGTTACAGGCAGCGGGAGGGGAAGATTGATTTTGGCCATCCTATCTGCCGTCCTGATTGACCATTTGGCATCAACTCGGTCTAACTCAACAAGAGGGTCTCGGTTCGTTTGTGTTGGCTACATCACTTTGTATTTATTTTAAACTTGTAAAAATGATTTCTTTTTGTTCAAATAAATGAAATCGACCACACTACACTACAACCATCACCAGACTGCCTTCTCGAATCCCATCCATTTGTCCCTGGTAGCCTTGAGCTTCAATTGATGCTGAACAAGAACACACAGATTAGTTCTTCTGAGTCTGCTTGGTCTTATAAAAATGAGATAGTGTACTCAACTCGACAGAGACCCAGTTTAGCGATCACCCCTCTACCTTTGCCGGTGATAATACATCGTTCGTGGATCTTAGTCGGATGAGAGTTCGAGGGCAGATTGTTCAATGATAACTGAGCCTGAGCTCGAAGCTGTTGCCAGTTGGTATGGTACGATGAGCTCTCTCAATCAGTCTTCTGATATGATAGCTGATCGGCACTCACTTTCATCGGCAGTCCTTCGTTCCTGGCCAGGTATAGGTATGCCCTTCGGAGTAACTCGGTACTTGCGAACTGGTCCCTCCTAGTCATATCCCTGAGTGTTCTGATGTTGATAGGTGATCGCATCTTGCTCGAAGTGCTTGGGTTTTTTTTGTTGGTTGTTGTTGGTTTTTGGGTTTCGAGCGGTGTTTGCTGCTGTGTGGGTGCATATAGGTAGGTCGGCTGATTATGTAAGCAGCCTTTGCCTTCCTCTCTCTCTCTCGCTCTTGACCATCAATCATCAATCATCAATCATCATCATCATCATCATCATCATGGTAAGCTCTCTTCTTCTTCTTTCGAGATCACTATCATGGATACTAACATATTTAATATATCTCCCTCCAAACAGTCATCCTCATCCGTGCGTCGTAGTACTTCATCTGGCCAACTGAACACCATCAACCCAATATATCACAACCAAGATTACTCGCTACCAACAACACCATCACTGATAGTCCAATTTCCATCCACATTTATCTTCGACCACCATCAACCTCAAGAACTCGACTTTCTATCACTCAACAACTCACCCTTCACTGCTAGTAACAATAAGCCTCATCTGAACTCGAATATCGATCCCAGCTTAATCAATCCATCTCCTAAACAAACCTCAAAAATACACCACCACCACCATCATCATGAATCAGACAAGCATCAATCACTCAGGGGGTTCCTCAAGGATCCCTCCTCAGACCCCGCCCTCCACACCCCCAGTCCATCCCTCCGATCACCATTGATCGATCAAGATCCATTCACTGGAGTCGTCGGCACGGTCTCCATGTCGGATTACTCGAGCCATCTCTCGAGCTTAGACCTGTTCGATCGACTGACGACCGACGACTGGGAACGCGGGCTCACCAGCAGTACTCCCATCTCCGCCTCCCATCTCAGCGGCCACCATCCCTCATCATCTACCTCCAACCACCAACGATCATCCTCACTCCCTCCGCCCGCGATCCCCGAATCTCCTTCCTCCTTGTCCGCTTCCGCGAGGCTCCTCCTGCCCAAATCCTCCGATCATCCGCGCTTCACGAGCTATCTCGACGGCCTCGACTTGCATCTCTCCGCCTCCTCCTCCTTCCTCTTCGACGACGACGCCTTCCTGCCCGCCTACGTCATCCCGACATCCGCTGCTACTGCCACTTCTTCTTCGTCTTCTTCTTCTTCTTCTGCTTCCTCCGCATCATCATCTTCTACCTTTTCTTCTTCTCCTTCATCTACGCCTTCCACTCGCCTCGACAATCCTCTCGACTCGATCCACTCAACCCCTGACCACCATCTCGAGCTCTTCCCGGGCTTAGAAGAAGACAAAGGTCTCCCGATCGACCCCGCCATCATCGATCCCTTCGGCCCTCCTTCTTCATCATCCACACCTCTGCCATTCCAGAAGGACGGTCTGATCCATCCAAGCCTCTCACCAGCTGGCCCCATAGACCTGACCAAGAATTCTACCTGAAACATCTTCTTAGCTCCATCCTCGTCTACCTGGA